ACTTAAATGCTTTTATTCATTTTCATATCTCCAGCATGTAGCAGAATACATGCTTCATAGATTTCAATAAATATTTGTTGAATAAATGAAAAAAGTAAATGCTTTGCACATTATAAATGGACATTTTCCATGTTAATATTCCCATGATCATTTCCAAACCATTTAGGTCAGTTTAGATAAAAGAAATCAGAAATTATAAATGGTGACTGGATGGCTAAAATTCTACTCGTGGGTCAAATTTATCTATTTCTGAGATAGATTTAGCTTAGAGAAAGTAAGAGGTGGTTAATACATAAATTGCCTTTATTCCTTATCGATGAAATGCTTCAGGTACATGCTATTTTCAATCACAAACTCCCTCTTTTCCAATGTTTTTTTTGGCTTTTCAGATTGTGAAGCAAAAAGCTGCTTTAAGTACTCATGATTTTAAACACCTCTCGTTAACACCACAAATCTACCCTGTTACGCACACAACACAAAGGGAGTTCTGGGGCCCAGCAGCAACAACGTTGGAGAGGCAAGGAGTAAGCCAAAGCACCAATAGGGAATAGAATAAACAGGAGGCTGAAAAATGGCATTCCTCTCTTGCTCTTGGCCATGGCATTGAGGCAGGACCTGAGTTAAGAATCCTCTTGCCATACTGAGAGCCACCAGAAGTTATTCCAGGCGATGTTTAGGAAAGGACACTGAACCTTTCTGTCTTTACAAAAACGGAACCCAGAGGATATCTAAACCTCCACAGATAGTGAAATCCAGTGTTCTAATTAAAAGCTGAGTTGAGTTTGTGTCCTTGGTAATTATAAGGGTTCCAACCCAACTCATTCTCTGGCCTTGGGATTCATGGAAGGATATTTTCAAGGTTCTGCAGTGTTTTTTTGTTTTGTTTTGTTTTGTTTTAATGTTGATTGTCTTCAAATTAGTCAAGAAGCAAACAATATTACTTATTAAACATATTTGTGAAACAGCATGATATAAGAATTATCCTGGATGACTTGTAATTCTTGCTTAATTTACTAATCTCATAGATATTTTAAAAAGAATAAAATGTGCCATGTCCTGATACTATCTCTATTTGATTTGGTGCAGCCTGCTTTGGATCTTGTACTTAATAAGGGAAACAAGACAGATTTTTATTACATCTTAAAGAATAAAAGTCAAGCAACTCCTTAGTCTTTTCCAAACCAGGGCTAAAAAGAGCTTATTTATCTCCTTATGTGCCTAAGAACTGAGTGGTATCATATAAAATACTTAGTAAAGAAAAGCTAGAAACTAGAGGGAGAAAATATACTTGCACCTGTATCCTTTTTTCTTAATCTAGTGATAAAACCCTTATTTGACCAGCACATACTTGAAGAAAGAGGGATATGTGAAGAGAAAAACTAAAGGTGAAATATTAATTCTAAAGGAGGTTATGTGGGGGTCACGGTGTTCTTGCCAGAAATAAGCTGTTCTGTACTGTGTGTACAACAAAGAGATTCCTTGCAGGCTGGATCTAGTCTATCAGGTTCCTTATAGATATGGTAAATAGAAAAGCACTCAGTTCTATTTGGGGGATAGATTAAGTGAGAGCAATGACACTTAGATCACTTCTGGAATTAGCACATGGATTCTTCATCAGATTCTATATGGGAAAAGAGAAATGAGCTTTGCATATGATGCAGATGATCACAGACAGTATAATCTTCTTGAAAGAGCCTCCCCGTTAAAATTAAGAAATGTAAGTATTTCTGTGTTTATAGATTATTCCCATCAGGTTTTGGTAGAATTAAGGATAAGGAATAAGCTCTCTTACAGCGTCCAGCCTATTTTACCTATTGTAGGTATTTTGCAAATATATTTATTGAACTAAAGAAGGAATGAAAACACTCATCTCCATTCTACTGCCATCACTGCACTAAGTGTGATACACAGAGCAGTTCATAAGTAAATGCCTTCCTGACACTTTGATCTTTTCAAGAAAAAACTCTGGAAGAAAATTTGGCTTTTTTCTAAATTGCGAATTATCTTGGCCCTTGATATAGTACTTTCTCCTTCTAGTGAATGTTTAGTCCTTCATTTTATTTCCAGGCTATAAGGAAATAATACTTTTAGGATAACATTCAGAAATGGCATGGAGTCAGATTACACATGCATTTAATGTACACGTGGCTTTAGAATATAACTCCTATGAAGATGAGATTAATACTACCCAAGAATGTGAGAGAGTAGCAGCTGTTCCACAGGACCACAAGAGGAAAGAGTCATGTGGGATGAATGACAGGCAGCAGGTGGCCATGCTTTTTAGTGATTTTTCAAAGAAGTGATCCATCCATCAAGATTTAGAGTAATAGCCAGCAAATATTTTCTAAGTATCACTACATGTGCACCATCATACCCTAGTTACGTTCATATTTTTTCATCTTTAATTCTCAAAGCAACAGCAAACATGATATGCATTAAGGTTATAATGGCTTAATATTAAAACAGAGTGGAGTTAAACTTGCAGGCAAGAAAAAGCACTTTGGAATTCTGTCTCTCTCCCATTCACACTAGGGACTCGAGAATTATCTTAAAGGAAGAAAGAAGTGAATGCCCTGACCTCTACCATCTACTTATAGGTTTTCCCTTTATTTCTTCCTTTTGTCTAGCTCAGTGGCTCTCAATCCTACATGTGAATATGTATTACTGTAAGCACTAATCTACATATATTAAACTTCAAGTGTGATTTAAGAGAGTTTATGATAATTTTGAATAAAACAGATTTTTGCTTTAGGCATTAACTTTAAAACTAACCCTTAATTAACAAGAGACTCAACTTTATTCAAAATAAGCAATAAAAATTTAAAATATAAAATGAAATTCCAGAAGCAGTGGTTATTGCCAAGTAACATTTCAATGTGTTATGGAAAGATCAAGAGAGTAATTCAAATCATCTTTTTTAACATCAGCATCTTGGCTCTGTTGCCAACTGCAGGGGGGAAAAAAGGATTAAGTAAGGAAAACTTCTTCAGATGCAAAGTTTCTTTAATAACGCTATGTTTCTTTTAGAATTGCATCTAGCGTAAGAGTAATCGCTCAAACTTTCTCTGTATTTCTTACCTGTACAAAAGAAAGGCAGACACTTATTTACAAAAAGTAAGTTATAAAACCCCACCTTTCTACCTATAATTAACAGGCTTTTTGAAAATGTCTCTTCTTTCTTAAGCCTTCCATAGTAATTCTTTGCTGCATAGAGCCACTGCCAGTGGTTTAAAAGCAGGAGCCTCTAGAACAGACAAATAGAGTCAAATACTAAATCTGCCACATAGAAGTATCACTTTGTGTAATTTATTCAACCTCTAGTTTCCCCAGTCATACAATAGGGATGGTTTCTTGCCAGGACTGTAAAGAACGATATGCTTGAAACTCAGCAGACATTCAAAAATATTTATCGACTGATGAAAGTAATCATGAAGCAGATAGTCTAGAAGGAGCACATAGTCCTCATTAAACTGTAGTTGTTATTATTACTTACTATCAACTACTGGATAAATGGGAATGATTTTGTTTTAAACATTCTAAGGAAACAGAAAGAGCAGATTCAGGAGATATGAGGACATTCATGGGAGAACTGAATATCAACATAAAGGTAGTAAGACAGTATTTGAAAGATTTCATTTGTAAATTCAAATTTTTCCAGTTCCAGTTCTGCCACTAAAACTCACTCCCTAAGATGTGAGGTAAGATGTGTAAAAGCATAAGTGCTTTTACACAGACATTTGGCTTAAACTGCATCCCTTCAACTCAACTCAGCCTTACTCCTCTGGTCTCTGTCAGGCCTCAGTGGTACTAGACTCACAAGACCACTTGTTCTCACTGCTCATGAGTCTTCTGTGGGATCTTCCTACTCTGTTTGGCCCCTGCCAGTCTCACTGGCTTCCAACTTAGAAACCCAGGAAAGGTGGACTTCAAGGCCCAGTTTGACAATGGCATTGTCAAGCTCGTTGAGATAGGACCGTTCTCCGGACTGGTATGGAGCATCCTGTAAGATGGCTTCTTCCAATAGCAAAAGGCAACATGGCAAGAGCTTCCTTGACATTCAGCTTTTCTTTAAACTTGCCTAACTCATCTCTTGCTCTCCAGACCCAAGTTCAGAGGTAGGATATCAGGAGACCTATGAAGATCATTGTATTCTGCTTTTTTCCCCCTTCATATTACCACAGTCTTCTATTACTGCCTTTTTATCATATACTCCTCCATCTTAATGCCAGCTAAGCCTTAAGGACAAAAAAGATAGCTCCTCTTTACTCTATGTTAATTCTGTAAATTCAGTCCCTCATGCCTGATTGTTGATCTGCTAAAAAAGGAATAAAATAAATAATTCAAAAATCTCTCAAGACAATATCTTGATTTGCAATGATATGTTTTTCTGCATAATCTTATTTGCATGTCAGAAGCTAAATATTACTTTGGTCTTGGTCTTTGCACTGCTTCATAACCAAATTCTAATCTTCTCTGTAGAGAGACAGATGACTTGGGTAGAGTAGGCAGGAGGTCTTCTACTTGGAAAGGCAAGGGCAAAAACATATTAATAATTTCTTAAATATGATCCTCCAGTGTTTTAGGTTCAAAGTGAAATTTATTGGGAAATTTCCTTTTAAGAATATTAGAGACATGCAGGTTATGAAAGTCTGCAAAATATTTTTAAACTATTGCATCCATTATTTGCATGCAGTACAGAATGTCCAAAAAGTAAACCTGGCCCTCCAAATTCTAAACAGTTACAACCTGTTGTATAGATACATTCTCAGTGTAAAGGATTTTGGTGATTTTATAGTGTTGACACTTAACTAGCTATGATCAGTTTTCCTAAATGGAACTTTCAAACTATACAGCTGTTTTTCAAGACTAAATTTATTGTTTTTGGTTATGATTAAACTAATAAATTGAACAGGCTGGTTTAATCTCTAGTATTCCATATACACATTGATGTAGATTTTAAACTAGAAAAACAGAAAATGAAAGTTTGTTTTCTTTGGCAGGCATTTGATGTACTTGGAAGAGTTGAAGCTTACCTTAAGCTCCTTAAATCAGAGGGTTTAAGTCTGCCTGTCTTGGCTGCGAGGCATGAGGAATTACATAGAGAAATTAAAGACTGCACAGCTGATGCTTTGCAAAAGGGACAAGGCTTAACCAGCCAAGCAAACTCCTGCAGGTGAGTCAAGTCTATAACTTCCTCAGTGTAACAAGCTTTTTCACAGTTTCCATAACCTGTTAAAAAATAAGTTGCATGATTTTTTTTCTGCTTCTGATGCTTCGCTACATTATGACATGGCTTAAAAGGATCTACTAAATTTTGGTCAACAGTGATTCTGAACACAGCATTGCTCATTCAGAATGAGATCTTATTCTGAGCCTGAGGACCTGAAGATGATAAAGCTTACTTTGTTTGAGTTTCTGAGGAGAGATAAAGGACAAAAGAAGAAACAGAGCTTTAGTTCTCAATACTTTTCATATCCTAGCACCTCCTTGGGATTTCTTTCCTTTTAATTCATGAGCTTGGAATACACCCTGTTTCTTTTTTTCCTTTCTGGGAAAAATAAAGTACCAGAATTCCCTTTCATTTATGACGTTGGTGGATCAACAAGCAAAAACTCCAAATAAAAGATGAAATTTCCAATAATAATCATAATAATAGCTCATATTTATTGAGAGCCTACCATGCAGCAAGCACTGTGCCAAGAGCTTTAGGAGCATCATCTTATTAATCCTCACAGCAACTCTACAAGGCACATGCTATAAGTAACTGAAACACAGAGAGGTTAAGTAACTTGCAAAAGTTTAAGTAACTGAAACACAGAGAGGTTAAGTAACTTGCAAAAGTTTACACAGCCAGTTGATGGCAGATAAGTAACTGAAACACAGAGAGGTTAAGTAACTTGCAAAAGTTTACACAGCCAGTTGTATAAGTAACTGAAACACAGAGAGGTTAAGTAACTTGCAAAAGTTTACACAGCCAGTTGATGGCAGATCCAGAAACTGAATACACGTGCACAGGCTCTAAACCCCATGCTCTTCACCAGTGTATTAGGGCTGGTCATCCTTATGAGTACATTTGATGAGTGTATCAGTGTGAGCTTAAAGTTGGGTGGGAATGAGGAGAGAGAGGGACCTTGAGAAACAGAAAGAGAATGTAATGAGAAAGTATGAGAAAGAACGGGAATTGGAAGACAAAAGACAGAGCAGATGGTAGAACAGATATTGGCTAGGAAGAAATGAAGGCAGGGCTTATATTTGAAAAGAAAGAGACAAAAAGATTTGTGCAAATGGGTTAAGCCCAGTTTTTATCTTCTGTGTCCACAATCTCCTTGAACTCAAAGACATTCAATTTGAGGAACAATGAAATAGGTGGAATGTGGTAAAATTATTTTATCTTTGTTTTTGTTCTATTCTACGTTAAATGTAATTAAAAGTATAGATTTAATAAGTTTGGGTTTAGGGAATTTTCCTTCCAGAAGACAGTCTGCATCAGGACAGAGATATTTAACTAGGGTTTGTGATAGTTGCTACGGTACCATGCAAAGCCAAGATCAGAAATAATCCAAGGTTTTCCAGCAGTAGACAAAAAGCTGAGGCTACGGGAAGAGAGAATGTATCTCCCCTTGGAAAAATGAGCAATAACTACTGTAGCTACTACAGTAAAGTTTTACCACACTGTAGTTTCTTTACTTTAGCTCCACGCCAGTATCAAGTAAAGGCGTGTCCTCTTGGCTCAAGGAGCCCCCATGTGCCCATGTCTGGCCCCAAAGTGTGATACAAGAGCTCCTTCCTCTTTTCCCTGCTAAAGTGCAGTCTTCCAGAATGTATAAATGTCTTGGACAGTGCAAAGATATCCTATAGGGTGGCACGGACACTTTTTGTGCCTGGACTCGGGATACATGTTGGATACTGATCTGAGTCATGTGATGACTAGATTTAGTAGTGAAGTCTCCAGTTATAACTGGGGAATGAGCAGTCACATGTCAGTTTAGCGAGTGGATCTCAAAGCACAGATAGATATTATTTTTGTGTTCAGGCTACCCTTTGCTTGTAGTGCTTTTTCTGCCCTTGGGCAGTTTCCTTTCACATGTGGTAGATCAGGAGTCAGCCAAAGCCCACTCCCTAGGTCTCTGAAGGTCTGTCTCTGCTATACTGCCCCAGAAATTCTAGGTATTTTGGCCTTCCCAGATCTGATCTCTGTCCCCTCAATTCAATAAGACCTCCAGGCTCTGTTTGGGTTCTACTTCCCTGAACTTTGATCTAGAAATTCCTTTCCAGGCAATAAGCTGATGTATTTGCAGGCTCACTTTATTGTTTCCCTTCTCTCAGGTAACACTGTCCTGTGCTTACACTGTCGTTCAGTATCTAAGAACCACTGTTTCATATATTTTGTTTATTTTCTAGTTATTTAAGGCATGAGGGTAAACCCAGTTCCTGCTTCCTGGCCAGAGACTGAAATTCTCTATTCAGTTTTGATGCTTAACCCCTGGAGTTGGAAAGCTGGTCACAATTCATTACTGTTAAATTTTATACTATTTACTCTAAGCAGTAATGCATTATTTTCAATATTTAAACATAAGAGAAGTGCTTTAAGTTTATAGTACATTCTGTCTTCCGGATGTTAGTGACTATTTCTGGCCATCTACTTTGTAATGGCTGACATTTTTATTTACTTAGCTAGTCTCATTCTTTTGGCATCTTTGCTCTTGTTAGTCTTAATTTTCTAGTTCAATTTACATCTATCTATATGTTGTTTTTCAAAGAGGCACCTACGGTTCTATTCTTTAGGCCATAGACTGAGCCTTAATAGAAAAAGCAATAGTTAGGGACTATTTTAAGAAACTTTAATTAATGGTTAGGTAGCTGGATTTTAAAGATAATTAGTAGTATGGTTTCTGTCAACATCCTAGATATGAGCTTTTTTTAGTAGTCTCAAGATGTTTGGTTGCCCTGAGATTTCACAGTATTTTATAAATCAATACTATTTCCATTTTTGTAGGAGGAACTGAAGGTAAGGAAAAGTTGTCACTTGGCAAAGGACATTTTTGATTCAGAAGGTAGATATAAAATAAAAATCCATTAAAACTGAATTGAGATGCATTAAATCTCAGTTGCAAATGAACCACACGTAGCTACTGACCTCAATCCCATGCATTGATTTGAGACTTGCTTCTGTTCCTCATCTAATGATTTATCTGTTCAATGACCTGAGTCATCATCACAGGAAAGAAGCAGAACCTAAGAAATTTTCAAGCCAACTGCTGCAGTGAAGTGGAGTTTAAAATGATGGCAAAGGAAATAACAGAGAAAAATACACATTACTAAACATTGCAATGGCTTCTTAGACTTCTGAATGATAGCCACAATACTAGGACATAAATCACTGAGGTTCCTAGAACCAGACATTTGAGAAATGGTGTGGATAAGAAAAATAAGACTTAGTGTCAAAACAATGTCATGACTTTTAACTTCTGTGAACCTCTGTTTCCTTATCTGTAAAATGGAGATATATGTTTCACAAAGGTTTTGTTTTGTTTTGTTTGTTTTGTTTTAATAAGATGAAATAATACTATTCTTGGCACAGAGTGCCCAATAAACAACTGGTTCACTTATATTTTTTATCTTCTATACAAAGCACTTTAAAAGGTACATACTGAGTCACATGGTTGTTTTAAACGTTTACAATAGAGTCAACTGCACCAAATCATACACTTTTTCACTAACTGGGGAAGGCTATGTTTGAAATAGGACATATAAACATTTATCTTAAGGTAATAAAAAGCAGAATTTAGTATTGAGACAGGTAGGAATTTCAAAGACCTTAGACTTGATTTTTTTTCTGTTAGTCAAAAAAATAGGACTTCGGTGGTTCACAATTACCTGAGATAAAGCTGCCCAGTAAATCTGAGACCTTTGTCATTATTGTTCTATAATTACTCCCTTATTAGAAATAGATCTACACTGTTTTCATATCCTGGAATCAAACACCTTTGAAGTTGGAGCAGTCTCACAAAATAAATGGTTATTTAAATGTTTCCTTGCCTCTTCTATTTCTTCTCTATAATTGGGTGATAATTCTGAGTCTTTAAATAGTTTATTATCTTTTCAGAATATAACTGTCAATCTAAATATACTTTAATTTGAAAGGCATTTTAGTATATTCATTTGCATTTAGTTACGATGCAAGTTACCTATAATAGTATGTGATAACAGTCAAATTTAGACTTAGAGTGAACTTGAAAGCTCCTGGCTTTGCACCCTCTTCATCTCTTCCCAGTCCTTGCTTGGCATCACTTTTGAGCACAGAGTCTAAAGATAGACCAAAGGTTGTCTGCTATTTGGCAGAATTCTGCATTTATTAAGCCACAGGATGCTGTCGGTGACTGGAAGTGCTGGATCAGAGACCTTGTGGTGGGTGAAGTTTTCATAATTGGATAAAAATTTAGGACCTCTTTTCTTTTTTTCTTTTTTCTTTTTCTTTTTTTTGGTCAGTGTAGCTACTAATTCAGAACTCAAAGACATGCAAACAGCCAGCAAAACCCGGCCACCTTGTGAAGTATTCATTTACCTTCTCCTGTTTACTAAAATTAACTTAAGATTTATAAGTAAATTTGCTTCAGTATTGACTCGATTTCTATCCCTGCATAAGAGACTACACTATTTTTCATCCTACATTGTTGTGGTGAACTTAAGCTGTCAACATAAGAAACATCCAGATCAGTAGAGAATTTTTATGAGTTAATTTGAGCCAAATTGATGACATATGTTGAGGACCAACATCTCAAATGCTCCTGGAGAGTAACAGTTTGCAGGTTCTTTTATGTATTTGGAATTAAGGAAGGAACATAAAGAAGATTATATGAATATGGGAGAGAGCAAGGCAGGGATTGTATTGCAGATTGGTTAAGATTATGTGTTCTCTTTGAGGGTGGTTATGTCTAAGAACAAGGGGTATGAAAAGGTGTTTACACATTAGAAAGAGGGGTCTGAAAAGAGGCAGTTCAAAGGTGTGTTAACCTAGATGTATAGAAACAATGGACAGGGCTTGCTTAAGGCAAAGATAAACCTTTTACTAAAGAGTTAGGAGCCTGGGGCATGGCTACCCACCAGGACCTGCCCAGTTAGGAATTTATGATCCTGTGAGGTTACTTTCCATAGAACCCCTTTTTTGTCCAC